GCGACCTAAAGCTGCACAAGAGACGGGCTCCACGTTACAAGAACTGGGGTTGTGAAGCTCTCCGACATCCACCCTGCTCACCAGTCACCAGACTACTTCTTTTTTCAGAATTTGGATAACTTCTTGGCGGGAAAAAATTTAATAACCGAGAGGCAGTACAAAATGCATTTGAAGAATTTGTTGCTACCCGTCCAGCTGATTGAAGAAGGGCATCAATAAACTGCCACTGCGTTGGCAACGATGCATTGATTGCATGGGTGGTTACTTTGATTATACAAATAAAAAATACATGAAAAAATCGTTTAAATTTTTTCATACAAAACGGCAATTTCAGTAAATGACCCATTAATTTAAATGATTTTGCTGAAATATAATCGATATTCCTATTGAAACTGTAATTATTACTCTAAATAAATACTTTTATATTGTGTTGTGTTTATTTATTCAATGTAAGTATCTGAGATTTTTGGTGATTGCGATATATCCAGGTTGTTTTATCAGCCATAATTCGCCTTAGATGTAAATAAACATAAACATTAAACGTTATAATTTCAATGTTATATGTCACATAAGTAAATTAGCCTGTCACTCATTTTAGTCTGAATTGGTAGTTAAGATAAATAGCTTGCTTCTATTAATTTTGGGTTTCGTCACTTCATATTTTTTAGCTTACTCTGTAAATAGAGTGCATTGTCGCTTAATTTTTTTCCCTTGTTGTCAATTGTAGTTATGAAGTCACTTAAATCATTTTTCCTGACTCTAAAAAAGGGCAGATTGTATTAAGCGACATTTATCTTTGTAATTAAAGGTCCGATTTATTTAGAATTAGCATCAGCAACTAGATAATTTAATTTAAATTTCAATGCAATTTACCCCGTTCAAATAACTGCAGAAGCGTTTTTGTTACGAATTTTTTTTCGAAATTTCAAACTTTAAAAGGCTCTCCTGTAAAGTTGCAAAAATGTCGCTTAAACCAAATAGCCCGTTACCCCTCGACTTAATTATTCTTACTTATATAAGATAACTAAATAATTTAGAATGTGGGTTGTTTAGATATAAAAGTTCTAAGAAAAAGGTATTTTTGAATGTACCTACTCAATGTAAGCAGTAACTGGATACTGTTCCAGGCAGTATTACGTAATTTACGTGGGTATAAAATTGTTCTGTGATTATATTATAATTGGACAAAATTACGATGAGAAAAGAGATGGGATTATAATTAATTCTGATACTGCTATATTTGTGGATATTATTTATTTTACTACTTAAAATACAAAGAACCTTATGTTCTATCTCTATACACAACAATAATTAAGTTTGAAAAATGCAACGCAAGCCTTAAATTTCGTATCCTCGTTTAATCCTTTTATCAACACATAGCTATAGGAAGACGTCATAATTCCTAATTAAAACAGATTATCCGCTGTATTAACATGAATTTGACTATCTTATTAATTACTTGTAATGTATTGTAGGTACTTGATTAGTAAATATTTTCCTATCAACCTTTATCTTAATACTTTCTCCCACTTATCGTGCAGAGGCCTTAGTACGAGTTTATTTACGTTACAAGTAATCGAAACGAGTACGCGTTCGGCGCTCTGATTGGCCGCCTCGAATGAACCAGCCAATCAGAGCGCGAACACTACTCGTACGTAAAACAAATTCGTACTAAGGCTTCAGAGTATCTAGACAACAATGAATTAATCAATGCGCATTACTTTGAATATTACGAGTATATCGAGTAAGACATAGACCCTACAAAATATATGCAAATTAATATTGCATAGCAGATCTTTCAGCTTCATCCCAATCACCAAATTATGTAGAGGTAAATATGCTGCGTAATATATTTTCTTCTATGCTCTGTTATAAAGCAATTAAGTAGGTTTTTCGACAAAAAGTATCAATCATGTACTTACCAGTCTATCCACATAAACTTGTACCTTGTAATAAAACTTAACAAGATTATATATTTTTAGATAAAACTACGTAGTACTTTGGCACGTGAAAATAGCTCACTCGTTTCGCAATATACCTAGAACCCCAATTAAAAGTAAGTAACTTACTATTTGAAAATCTAATGAGCTATAAATTCTCTCACACCATATAATTGGTTTCGGAATTAGCCTCCGAGATAGGGTTGCCCACAATTCTTTGTCTTTAATAGAGGGTCCCATTACTTTAGTGAACTTTACTTGATTTTATCAACACTGCGAAATGCGGTATTGGTTTTCTTTGTACGTGAATCATGATTATTGGCTCTGAAAGGGCACTAATTAGGATTTAAGGAGGCCGTTTATCACTGATTGGTTATCTCTCCAACGACGGAGGGGAAGTTGATTACGTATTGGTGGGTCAGTGTTTTTATTGTTATGCGTTAATAAACGACTATTTTTTTTTTCGATTGATAACAAAGAAACGATAAATAGAACACGTCTAACTTTCTACATAACATATTAAACACACCTTGTGTAATATTACTTAAAGTTACAACGCGTAATGTAGGTACTATAAAATTATAACAAGAAAATAAAATAATTATTATCCCACACAATGTAGCGTTCGTTAATTTTGTAACAAAACGTGTTTATTCGTATTAATAATGCGTGACGACAGACCGAACAATATTTTTATCACAATCTCTCGGCGGGCTATCCTCTTTACTCTTATTAATAATGCAATTACTCCGTCCGGCTATGTCCTCCTAGTAACTATGTCGTTATGGATACGTCATAACGTAATAATTGATAACGTGACGTAACAAAAGTATAAAATGAATATAACATAACAGCATGTCCGTCGTTCCCCGCGTAATTATATCGGGTGTAATGTTATTATTTTTTATAATGTGTTAAGATGCCTTTTAATTTTCCAAAGGGGCAAACAGAGAAAGTGCTAGATATTACTATGTTGTCACTTCAATGTGGTAGAAAGGAGTTTACTGGTATATTGGTTGTAAAAATTGGAAAAATGTAATAGGTAATATTTGGACAGAACCGGGACTGCGAAATTTACTAAAAAAATTGCATATTTGAAAATGCGTTATTGTTATCGTTAGTAGTTATCTCTATTATTTATTTACGGTTTTTAGAAGTATTTTTTTTACTTCTGCGATGTTAGTGACGGTGCAAATCCTTTTTGTACTCGTCTTATACTTTTCCTGTTTAATGATATATCGTACATTTCCTAGAGCATTTAAACATAGATACACACAGTTTTTAAGTTTTATTTTCGAAGATATTGTGAATGCGAATCTAGTTAAGACATTCGTAGCAAGCAAGAAATGTACTTTTAGCTTCTTTTTTTATGAAAACTAGTTTTAACGGTGAGATAATTACTAATGAGAATATAAAAATAGACAGAAAATTATGTAATATATGACCTTATACCAAACAAAAACACATGAGTAACTATTGCTACAAATAATATTAAGATAAATGACAGAGATTAATCTAAACATATCAGCTATTTAGCAATAGTATTATACAATTAGCACATCAACTTTTGTACGTGAGTTTGGCATTCTTATGCCAGAATACTGAAATGCTACTCAATTTTAAGTCGTGCTTAAGTATAGTTCTGTCTCTACAAATTCTTTGTGATATGGCAGAGATGGCACGATATTTAAGCACGACTTAAAATTGACCTGCATAACCTGCATAATGTATGTCTGTGCCCGATTATCTGAACCGATTTTGACGCGGTTTTCAGAAAAGTATTTGTATGTAACAAAGAAGAAGGTTTAGGTATATTAATTATCCGACTTCAAAGAATGAGGGGGTTGATGTCGGTTTTTTAAACTTAGTTTGTAACAGAATTATTCTGAGTAGGTTAAGGTAGAAAACTATCTTTTACTTGATCGTAGACCAAGTTCGTTATTCTAATTATAATTACAACTAACACAATATTTCTAATCGGTAAATGTTTATATTTTTATTCACGTCATTTAATAACATTATTATTTTTAACGCAGTCACGATAATGTACCGCCAAAATAGTCAACGAGTAAACATGTGACGTAGGATTATTATGTTATTATAATCATGTTAACGATTCCATTGTGTTATAGGCAGCCTATTAATTATAACATTTAAATAACTCTTAGCTACTTTACAGAAGGAATATTACCTATAGGAAAAAATATTTCCACACAAGATATGTGTAGTTCTAATCCAGGTATCCGTCAGATTGGAAAATCAATTAGTTTTGTTTCACAGCACAGTAAAACATGATTATCACAAGTGAACAAATTACCATTCTTCTCAAAGGAATGATTAAGTCGTAAAATCGTCATGTTTTGCAACTTTAATTGTACTATTGTATCATGAACAACTAAGTAGGTACTAAGTAGGTACTCGAGCTACGTAGATAAAGTTACCTACATGAATCAATACGCGCGATGCGATTTCTTATTACCAGACACAATACTCAAGATTTAATTTCTCTCATAGAATACCAACCAGCTCGTAGTTAATTGCAAATTTAGATGCGAACGGTGAGCCGCGTGCTCTCATCATGCGCCCATGCGTAACACCACGTTTGATGTTACTTTATACGATTACGCTCATACAAAGTAACGCTTTTGAATTAACTTAAATAAAATAAGGCTTCCGAATGACATTCTGCATCAACGCCGACACATACTGTCTCATATTCTTACCAGCAAGGTCAGTATCAGCATCAGATCCGTAAACAAAAACCGGATTGTATACGTCACTCTCAAATCCAAGTAAGCGAAGCATATTTATCGACACATGTAAAACAAAACAATGCAGGCGATTGTTACGTTTACTGGATATTTCCTGCTTTACTCGTGAAAGAAACACAGAGAAACTACACGCGTTACAAACAATGTACACACAAACACGAGGAGACATAATTACCGGCGACGCAACTAATAAAAACACTCCAAAAACAAATGCTATTCTTTGTAGTCAAGGCTATGAATTAGCAACACATTCCATATATGTATTCGTTACGCGTAAAATCTTACTCGAAAAAACTTCACGACAAAAAGATACAACTGTTAATAATAGAACGTTTAAAACTATCGAACGACGCGCCGTGCACTGAGCGTGCTATTCGGCGGTGTTAATTGCTAATCGGACGTTATCGGGAAATGTAGGTAGGTGACATTTCGTAGGCATGTGCCTGCTACGGTGTGCGGAGGGCGCGCCGCGGCAGCAGCGCGCTCACTCGCGGTTAGGAGAGGACTGTGCGTGCAGCCCGCTCGGCGACCGAGCCCGCTCGCGGCGAGAGCGACGAGCCGAGAGGAGCGGAGCGGCTGCGGCTGCGGGCTGCCCACCCGAGCGGATCCGACCCGAGACGGCGGCACCGGCACGACGGGCTTGTCTCCTCGCCTCGCTGGTGAGGGAGCGCACCGACCTGGATCATCCCTCGCGCGTTAATAACTTTAATATCACTCGTATCACACTCGTCACCGTCATCGCCACCGGTGACGTCGTGGTCCGCGCGACCTATCGCAATGCAACCTTTCATTATGTCAATGTAATGTCAGCGCCCTTGACTAATTACAGTGTAAGCGGTTATTGATACCAGAAACCCTACATTAAATTGAAATCTGATATGGCGATCGTACGAATGTCGTACATAACATCATGTAAGTGAACTGACTATATGCGGTATTGTTTTGTTTGATTGCCATTTGTTTGTTATGGTTCTTATCTGCTGATACGAACCTGTATTTATCTTAGAGGTATCTTTGAGTGTCAGCCTATTAACACGGTAATACTACATTGATATGAATCAGTATAAATATCAACAATGTTTGTGGGTATTAAATCATCGTCATGTTATGGTATTAAGTAACAGAAACGGCTCCCAGGGGAATCGCTAAAGCAAATTAATTATTCATACAATAAATTCGGTGAGTGAATAGACAAATTTTCCAGTCGAATCTAATTAAATATTAGTTTAGTCAATAGCTGGTATGTATGAACGCACGCTTTAAGGATTGCATATCAGTGGGTTAACATGATTCACACTCATGTATGTACTCACCTAAATTGATATTAGATATATCGAGCTTGTACCGTGTAGCTGCGAACTTTCACTCAAGTTGGGGATAGGTGAATCAATCAAAATGAAAATCAGTTCTGAAACATGCATATTGCAGGGTCTTTATTCCGTCTCAATAAGATTGGTTTTTGAATCTCAAATGTTTATGGTGATGGTTAGTATGGGCGCACGTCAGTACCTACGGTCGTAAGTAATGTACCGTAAAATTATTTTCAACAAACTCTTTGTAAATTATAATTAAACAGGGTCCAAAGGTTTGTTATCTCTGGAAGTCGTATGCCTTACAAAGATAATAAGGTAAACGTTCCTGGTTTTAAAAGAAGAATTATAAGTTATTTTGGTAAGCAAGTAGGTACATAATTATGTAAATGTACTGGATGTAAGTCAATGGTATCTTTTACAAAAACGGTTAATTGGCTGTTGACGTTAACTGATAAAGATTTTTAAGTCACTCTAAGGTAAACAGTTGTTATAAACCGGTTTTTTCAAGTATAAAATACATAATGCAGAGTTCATAACAGTTCATATAGATACGCTGGTACATAATATGATATAGACGTTTATTTACACAATATTGTTTTTCTTAATTGTTGTTATTTTATCAATGGTGTGTGAAATGCCTTTTTTTAGTGTAATATCATTTTTGTGTCATTTTCAGTTTGATGGTATTTGCCTAATTATTATATTTTATAATGTTTTGACCTTAACACATTTATAAAACCACCAATAATTGTTACTCATAATATGTCATGGCGATTAATGATTGACTTTGTATCATTGATTGATTTCAGATTTTTGATGTGTTTAATTATGTTAAAAATAAAATTAGTTACAGTAGTTTCGACAAGAAACGTTAACCTGGAGAATAACCAATTTATTTGGCAAATAAAAAGAACACAAACTTCTAATTAAACTGTCAAACACCAAGCAGTCACCGGTGACCGCGACCTATTGTTCTTTAATTGTGTCTATAAAACCGGTACTCGACGAGTTAATTATGAAATTAAAAAGTACGTAGTTTTGTTCAGCTTAAGTGCACAATAAAAGTATGCAGTACTTGCAGTGGCGTAGCATATCTTGACGCGGCCCCATATAAAATATTATTGGGGGCCCTTATAAAAGGTACTTAAAAATTTCTCATAAGATATTTTTTACAAAATATACTAATAACTTATGCATTTTGTGATTACTGAAATAAAATATGAATTGGGAAGTTTTTATATTTTCGCTACACACGTTTGGGGCCCGCGTAGTCCGGGGGCCCCATATAATTGATACAGTAGATACGGCGCTAACTACGCCCCTGAGTAGTTGTAATAAAATTATAGATTCGTCGCCTTCAGTCTTAAGTTGTGAATATAACTCCAAATTAACGGGCGCATAGCGCACTCGTCAAAATTATTATTAACGCACAGACTAATTATGATTTAACTATTCTATTCTATTCTATTCTATTCGTTAAAAAAAACGTTGCCCCACACTAACTGATTGTTTTTTATATTTTATTGCACTTACGCTGAATTATTCAAAAGGCAATAAAATTGTTATAGTTCTGTCTCTACAAACTCTTTGTAAAATGATAGAGATGGCACGATATTTAAGAACTTAAAATTGAGTAGCCTTTCAGTAGTCGGGCACTTAGTGAATAATTTGAAACTTGATGGGAGGTGAAAAAAACGATAGGTAAAGTAGAGCCTTGGTTGTACCTACCTGTAATCTGTCCCATTTCTTAATGAAAAATACCTTTTCAGATTCTTTCTAAACATTTTGTTGAGTTCTATCCAAAGCACAAGGAATGAGTCTACTATCAAACATTTGAGACTTTTCCAAACAGAGTGCTGCAAGGCACATAAAAAAAGGCAATCTGAGAACAGACCCACCAAGTCTTTGTCTAGTAGCTAAAAAACCAGACGAACTGGATGGATCAACTTTATTATACATATTATAGGTATGCAATCAAAAACGTCATAACAACTTATAAAATATACATAGGTTACCCGTTACCCCTTAAGTATAAAATGTTTGAACAGGTTCGATAAACACTAACAAATTGTCCAATGAGGTAGTCGTCATTAAATGCCATAGATATACATACCTAGTTCACCCCACGTTTGCACAGGCCCTATAACTACCACCAAGTACCAACCAACGCGTGTGCGTTTCCGATAACAGAATGAGGGAAAAAGACAAAAAAAAAACATTCTTTCTAATCCAAAATGTTGATAAGGGAAAATTCTTTTAAACGTTTCTTACGAGCGAAATTAATTATAGCCCAGAATATTTAGATATATCTCGGTTTTTAACAAAAGCGCCATAATAACTATCGTGACACTTGCTGAATTAGTTAAAATTAACGCGACAAAGTCTCGACCGTGCACGCTTTTCATGAAGAAGAGTCCCTCTGTAACTCGAAACTAGTAGAGGTTTCCTCAATACATTTACGTGAGTAGTTCGTAATTTTTAGTTAATATAATTAAAATCTCCATACAGCGATTGTTAAAATCGGTCTCCATCTACACATATTATGGATTGAGATCGTTTATTTTAGGTCATTTGTTATCAAAAATCTAATCTAAAGTTCAACATACATAATATCAGTTAAATTACATGCAAATAGTTAAATCTCTCGTGTAATACTGTTACTTATGGCGGCAAACATTTGGCAGTGCGACCTCGCGATGCATCCAAACCGCAACACACATAATACGTCTGTTTAAAATAGCTTTGGTTGAGTAAATAACGTTTAGTTGGAATTAGGGAAACCACCCTTTTTGGTAGTCGGGTAAAAACAGTGCTTAGTTATTTCTGCTTTATGTATTTTTAGAAATATTTGCATATTATTTGTAATCGATTATCTAAACCAGTTAGGTATTGATATAGATAAAGACTACCAAATAAGATTTAGCCATTGTTATCTGATATCTATCAATCATAAATACTTATTAAAATAAGTTAACAAATTTTAAAATTTGCATATTGCAACCCGAGACTTGTATTTATAATACTGGCAGGTTTTCATAATCCAATACTCCTACTAGTAATGCATTAGGTGGTAACGACTTTATGAGATTTTCAAAGCACAGGGATAAAACATACCTAACACTACATTATAGCTCCATATATTGTTCTATAGTATTTTATACTTAATAGAGAAGCAAATTAGCACTTTTTGCTGACCCAAGAAAACACAAATTTGATGATCCGTAGTGTTACAAAAAATAGTCAAATTACTTTAGTTCGGTTAAAGTGACACGATATAGCTACTAGCCAATGTTATAAAAAAGTAAAATTGGTACGCAGATAATATTGGTACATATAAGCAAGAGCAAAACTTGAGAACGGCTGATCCAATATCTAAACATTTTTATCAAATTATGTATATACTTTTAAATGTCACTTTTAAAAGTAAATCTATATACTTATAAAATAAAGTCGTGTTAGTTACACTGTTTGCACCTCAAGAACGGCTTAATCGATTTGGATGCAAATTGCTAGGGAGGTAGCTTAAAACCAGGAGAAGGACATAGGATACTATTCATCGAATACTCTTTTTTTACTTTTTACCGAAAATTAGGTACGATTGGGAACGAGTAAAAATGGGATTTCGCGTACGAAGTCGGGGGCAAAAACAAGACATTACAACAAAAAGATGCTTATACACACACTGCTCTAATATCCAGATCAAACAGACAGAAAAACTTACACGCGTAACACAAATCATTTGTCTATAGTTTTATTAAATAACGTATTTTTTTGTTTGTACCGAAAACTCTCTGAAACTACTAAAATGTTACTTTGTTTATTTTTGTTACTTACACTATTAGAAAAACCTTATACTATTATAACTTTAAAGAGCAATTTAGGTTACTTTTTCCCTAATAATATATATCTCTAATATAATCCTACAGATGAAATTACTCGATCTAAAACTTAATAATTTTACGCGACCAAAGCTAAAGGTAAAAAGGTAATGTAAAATAATAAATTATTTTATGAACTAATAATATTAATGTAATATAAAACTTATTTGGACTTGCTACTTCTATTATTAAGTTAAACCGAAATGGTATCAATTGTTATTAAATAAAAATATTCGATCAAAAAAGTTTTGACACCAATTTCTATCATACAAACTTTTTTATTTATTTAGTTTTGACACGTACGTATGTGATTCATGAAGATTAATTTATTTTA